ATAAAACAATGAGATTTATTTTATATACCATGAATTATTTAATTTATATATACTAGAAATATCGAAAAATAGATAGGCGAAATAAGAATACAAAATAATAAACATCTATTAAATAATTATAGACAAATATATATTAGTAGATATGGAAGATGAAATTAAAGATGTATTCAAATAATGTTGAAAATATTTTAAAAATTACAACAAATTTTAAGGCTATAATAATACAAGTGTATAATTATAATTATAGGTCATAAGTTTTTTTATTTATTATTATTATATTATATAATATAAGTTTAAGACTATAATAATATAAGTGTAAAATAAAAAATGTATATTAAAAGAATTTATTATAAATGTATTGTATAAATTTGTAAAATTCATAAATTGTAAGATATGAAATATATAAAAATAATAATAGCATATGTGTTCGAGAATGCGAGAACATTTTTTCCTTTTTGTTAGTGCAATAAAACATCTGGCAAGTAACATCGTAAAATTTGTATTTGGATTTCAAAACTTTGCTTGCTCAAAATTCTCACGCATTAGTGTCATAAAACATCTGGAAAAACAATACCACAAACACGGGAAAACCTATAGTTTTGACATCTGTATTTTCGCTCCGCTTGGTAACTACATCAAGCATTATTGCAAGCGGATCTTCCTTCCCCTTCCTGCTGTCGACAAGTTGCAATGCTGTCACCAGATGTGTTAGCGATGCCCCCCCTTTCCGCTGCCTACATGCTGTCGCATGCAGCAGCAGCAACGAGAGATCTGCTCATCATGAAGACTCAGAGACGACTAGGCCCTTAATTAACTCCGAAGCCAAAAGAGGCGCTGACCTCGCACTATAAGGGAGGAGTCTCTGATTGGACAGAAAATAAGGGAAGGGGTTCACGTCAAATTCATGGTCAGCAAATGTATTTAAGGGGCGCAATTTTCAATACTCATTTACTCTTGATACTTAACTCTCTTAATACTTATCACTTGCGATTTTTAAATGTCTTGATATTTACTCTTGATAGTTTTACTTTAGTAGTATTCTCGTGATCTTACTCTTTTTTGAAGTGTCTCTCTTTTTTTGATATCTCTCTTTTAGTAATACTCTCTCAATATATTAAACCCTTCAGACATTTCATACTCAGTTAAGTTTAGTGAAAGTCCATTTATAATATTAAATCCACTCCACTCTTTAGGCTTAACAGGTAAATGAAATACATAAGAAAATTTTCACCAATAGTAAAAAATTAAACACAATATTTCATTCAAATCTACGTTTGTAACAATATCCATTTCTATTAGTTTTTAAATATTTTACGTTATCCAGAAAATTCTAAAATTATGCTATAATACAATATTACGATTGCTTTGCAGTTAGAACGATACTAAGATATTATTAAAGTTAATATAAAAAGTTAATAAGTTAATAAGTTAATAATAATTATATAATCCACTTATGTAATGAATTAAAATGTATAACTCATTAATTTAATAATTATCGAAAATACTAAATAATCAAAATAACAAATTCTTTAAAAAGATTCATATAGTTGAGAAAGTTACAAATTTGTTTTTCGTCGAGTTATGGCAATAAATTAGGTTATATCTTTTTCTTTACTAATATTTGGACTCTTAATCCAATTACTGTATTTGTATAATTCAAATTTCTTGCTTCAAGGAATTTCATGGTATATTTAAGCTTTATTAATTAATATAAATTTTATTTTTTTTTATAGAAAAGATTATGTAAACATTAATAATGAATCATATAAAACTTTAAATATTATACAATCTCATATAAATAATCTTAATCATAATGAAATTTTAAATGATGGTAAAAAAATGGATCTATTTTCCTTATTTAATCATTGTCGAACACGACTTGGACAACAATTTCTACGGTAATTAATAAATATTCTTTAATAATTTTGTCACCTTTATAACTTTAGTTCATTATTTAAAGGCAAATATTCAAACAACCAATAAAGAATATCACTGTTTTAAATGAAAGATTTGATTTTATTACATATTGTATGGATCCTTTAAATACTACAGTTGTTTATAAATTAAAAAAATTATTATCAAAAATGTGTAACATACCCGTTATAAGTAAGGATAGATCGTATATTCTACAAAAAAAAACGAAGGATTGGAAATTACTCTATAAAGTACATTAATATTTAAGATTATTTTTATTTTAAGAGCGTTTAAAATGTATTAAATTAATTGATTATATAGTAGAGATCTTACATAGAAATATTAATAAAATTTACATTACAGATTTATGATGTAAATAATTTATTTATTGGTATTGAATAAATGAATTCAATAACATTTTTTATAGTTTAAAACATTTTAAAATTATTACAAAAAATCATTTAATATTATTAAAATGAATTTAAATGTATTAAACACATAGATTAAATGATTAAAGGTTTCCATCAACAGTGATCTAAAATTTATTTTCGTCTAATAAAAATAGTTATCTAACTGCAATAATACTAATAATTGATAAACATATGTAAATTTTATATGTAAATATATGTAAATTATTTTCTTAATATTTATTATATATAAATTTGGAAATCATGTTTAGTAATTTAACTTTTATTTTTTGTTGAGAATTGATTTTGTTAAGTATTATTCAAGAATATATTTGAACAGTATAGAAAATATGACTTTACAATTTTTTGTTATTATTATTATACTAAGCATATAGATTTTATTTAACGTTTCGTATTTAAAAATATTTTATAATCTTTATATATTTTTACATAAATTTATATATATTTATTTTTATTATTTATAAAAATATATAAATGTAAATAGGAATAATTTAAATTAAAATATTTCATGATACGAATAAAAACATAATAAATAAAAAATGGTATTAACTACAGATTTTAACAATTATGATTCAAATTTCTGAAATAACTGAAATAGAAAAAAATGGACCAATGATATTTAAACAAATTAATAATTGTATGACAGATAAAATTAACTTTATAAAATTTCTTATTGAATATTTATTCAATTTTAGTAGTAATGGAAACAAAAATTTATCTCTCAAATCTGGTATAGATTGTATACTTGATAAATGTAAGTAATTCTTAATAATTATTTATTACTATTAATTATATTATTACTATTTATATTAATAAAAATGCATAAATGTAAAATAATTGAAGACTATGGAATAGATAACGAATAAGAATCATTAAATAAAAAAAAGTGAAAAATTTGCTTTAATAGAAAAGTAATCTAATTAAAATACATAAGACACTATTTTTATACAAATAATTAGAATACTTCGGATAATATTTTAATAAAAACCGAAATTAGATTATTTTTTATTCAATTTTCCTTTTTAAAATTTTAAAAATCAATAAAATGTAATTCAGCAATAGAATATACAATATAAATATCTCTATAGATTGACAAAATTTGTGTATAATACTGTTGCTACGGTTTGAAACAGTTGAAATCGGTATACAAAAGTGGCAGAGATATGAGCGCGCGAACATTTGTTTATAAACACTAGTCAACGAACTCGAGAAATGCTTCTACGCCGAAATATCGAATATATGACTATAATTCCGAAAAGTAATAACAATGAACCTTCTAAAGCCATGCCCGATTGACGTCACGACAAATACCGACATAGTAACAGACACCGGATCGCTACCGGCGCCTAAAACTATCACGAGAATATTTAAGGGCTGCACTTGCCATGCGGCGCGCAGTCGTTGGCTCAGTTTAGCGTAATATCAATTGCGCAGTCAACACGAAGAACTCACAATCGAGTCTTTGTATCAGTCCTTGTCTCAGTCTAGCGTAATAAAGATTACGCAGTAACACGACGAGCTCAGTATTAGTCTACAAGCTTCTCTCTACAGTCATCACTTACTGTAGCGACACAGATACGTAATACTCAAACAGTAAGCAATCTAACAATACAATAGCGAAGCCATATTATCAGAATCCGTTAATGAAGGGTTGTAGAAATGTATAGTATGAGTAAACTTCGTTAACATATGGTTTGTTAACAGTTACATTTATAATAGGCATGGTTCACTTTTTATAGAAAAGTGTAAAGGTTGCTCCTTGATGGTGACGGTGTCGTGGCCTCTGCTAGTGTTGTAAGGACTAGCAGAGATATGCTCACACTCCTGTGTAGGATGTATGGCCTTGAAGAGTATATAATAAAGTGGCTTCTGCTAATATTGCCAAGAATTAGCAGTACTAAACTCACACTCCTGTGTAGGACGTGTAGCCTTGAAGTGTATACAATAAAGTGACCTCTTCAAATATTACCGAGAATTAGTAGTACGATGCTCACACTCCTGTGTAGGACGTGTGGCCTTAAAGTGTATGTATGAACATACCTTGAGACTTGTTGTGGCAGTCAGCACCCGTGACTGCTTGTAAGTGTAGACACTTGGCAATTAAAAGTGTGTTCCTAGAGATCGTTTCATTGCATGAGAATAATTGAGTGGCTGGTGTATAGTCGAAAACGCTGGCTGAATAACGTAGACTTATAACTGTTTGACTGACTGATTCACAATGAGCCTACAAGCCTGTTGAATACGCACTCGAAACTGGAGGCTTGATCGTTCTGTGGCGGCTCTGCTGTGAGATACCGACCGTTCCATGGCGGTCCTGCTGAGGCAGACCATGACCAGTGCCATGGTGTCTTCACTAAGAGAGGTACACTGTGCTCGGTTCACTGCAAGAGAGGGAGACTCGCCGTGTGCTTGCCTTATATATCCATGTGGCAGTTGACTTAAATGGCAACAAAGCATCTTTGTTGCTACAATGGAATCTTACATGAGGCGCAGAAATAAAACTCTAGAACTTTCAAGAATTCTAAGAAAAAACAAAGCGTAAGAAGTTTGGACAATTCCAAGCGACGTTACATAATAATAAGTACATAAAAAATAATAAGTACGCAAAAATTCGAGTCCCAAGTATTTACAGAAATCTAAGAGCTAGAGAGACTAGCAATGCCGATAGTCCACGGTCTTGGAAGTTGCTTCAATCCCAAACAGTATTAATAACAGATAACAATGTAAATCCATTCTGCCTCTCAACTATTGTTTGAAAACCTTAACATTGATATGTATTAATATTTCTATAATTTTATTCAAATTTTAATTAATTTACAGTCACCTTAAATGTTATAATTTTCTTACTTAATATTAAATATCATTTAAAAATATTATTGTTTAAAATTTGAACATATATTTATCACAAAAAATCACAATAATATATAGCTGACATCCATTTATTTAAAGAATTTTGTATGACTCCATGCTATTCTCTCTTTTTAAAAAGATATTTTAAACTTTTGTTTTTACATATTCGATTATGAAATTGATACTACTTTTAAATTTTAAATATCTAAGTTAATAAAAATTAAATAATAATTATATTGTATTAAATATGGATATATAGCGAGAAATTTATTATGTGATTTCATAAATTACTTTTTATAATATATATCTAATACAACATTTACATTCATTAAACAACTTATACAACAATAAAATTCTTACTAATTTATTTTTTGTTTACATACGAAATTACACTAATGTATTGTTCCTTTTATTCTATTGTTTCACAGAAATATCATTAACAATGAGTAAATAAATCTATTGAATGTGAGAGTTAATGAAATTAAAAAATAAATTAATTTGAATTATATTTTTATATACAAATTATTTCAAGATGGAGAAGTGAAACTGAATATTATTTTATAATCTATATTATTGTGTAAATATTAAATTAAATATATATTCTACAGAATATCATAAATATAGATAGATATTTAGATTAAAAACTAAATTATCATATTTATTCGAAATTGATAAATTAAAGCATATTGATTAGAACAGACGAATTTCAGATTCAGAAAATTTGTAACCTATTATATCACGGTAAATATAAATATTTCAGTGATGTTAGAATTTTCACACAGTGGAATTTTGAACAAAAATTTTTTGCTCATTTTGTTATTCTTATTAATATATGTATATGTTTAAGATAATATTTTCTCAAATAATGTACACTGCAATATTCAGATTTTATTATCATTTGATAATGTAAATGCATAAGTTTTTACATCTCTATCATTTCTCATATTATTGTTTTTTTTAAAATTCTCAACTTATTGCTAACATTGCAACGGTTTAACGTTAAGTAGATAGATGGTACCTTATCAATAAATTGATCTAAACGACATTTATTTAATAATACAATACTGCACGTATTATAAATTAACCCACGGTTAGCATAGAGTTCAAGATATTTGGCCACATTATTGAAGGAAATAATTTGAATTTTATGTCTTATCTATGAATACTAGTAATAATATTGAACGTTGTGATTATATTTATAGTAAATAAAAATATTTAAAAATTAATTATACAACTGAACAAATAAATTAAGAAATTAATTTATTATCGCATGATGTTATTAAGTAATATTAATAACAATTGATTCATAAGATAAATGTATTAACTATTCTATAAAAATTTTACAAATAATTTCCATCAATTATAGTGAATAGCAATATGTTTTCTGCTTTTAATTATATTTTCTTAAAATTGTAATTTTCGTTTTACTATATAAATAAATGTATCTATTTATTATTTCAATTATAAAAAAAACTTCTTTTAGTACACAGTGTATTTCTTCGTTTACCAATAACTTTATCATCTATTTCACCACAAAATTTACAGTCTTTACCATCTGAAATTGAAAATTGTCATTTGGTATATATTCCTGAAGTAGGTTATGTTATTGCTGTGACAAAATGGAGAATATTATTAAATTATAGAACTATTCCAAGTATACAGTACAAATTTTCAGCAAATGGCGTTGATTATTTTAAAAGTACTCTCACTACAGGTAATGTAAATGTATTATTGTATTTAATTGCATATCTTTATTATTTTTATATTATATAATTAAAATTTTGCATATTCTATATTAATATAATTTTTTACAATACATAATTAAAAATGTGACATCCATTTATAAATGCATAGAGAATAATTAACTGTTGTCATTTTTTTTTATAATTTTGCTTAAGAATAAAATGAAAGACAGAAGAGAATTTAAAAAATTCAAGATAGAAATAGTGTGTTATTTTCTCATTCTTTGTTTCACAGATCGAATATTAACGTATTTCTACTCTACTATTTTAAAAAATTTATACTTTGTTAACCGAGTTATGTTAGTTTTCTTATACAATTGCCCAGTGCGATATGTGTTACAATGCTATGTATGTCAATAATTAAGATACGTAACGTAAGGTACGTATGATAAAAAAAATGTTGTAGATTTGTAATTGTTAATTCAAATAATCAAGAATTAGTTTAACTTATACTAAAAAGCTGTAATTTTAGATTATTTCATCAATCTTTCTATTATAGCTTATCTTTTATTCATTTTTTATGGTACAGTATAAAAATCATTTTAGATATTATTATAACCTACTATAGCCTATCATTTATTACACGGTACAATATAAAAATAATCAATGATACTATTATAATAACTTAGAAATAAGATATGTATATCATATTTAGACATATATATTTTTATGTAATAGAAGTACATTTTATGAATAATGGAAATTTATGATTAAATTAAATTATACTATTGAAAATATTACTATTAATATACTATAATTAAATAATAATGATTCAATATTTATAAAATTCATTATGGTCTGAATGATTCCTAAATCATTATTAAATAGTATTTATTACTAAATTCGTAAACGTAGATTTCATGATTAATATTTTTATTTCAAGTATTAATCAGATTTTTTCTGATTGGAATATCATAAGTATTAATTTAGTTTATATATTTTCCACGCATTGCAAATGACTTCTTGTTTATCGCTGATACATGTCTACAAATATACGTTACATAATCAAATGTACTGTGAACCTTGAGAAATACGAGCTTACATCGAGTATAAATAAGCATTAGTATTATGATAAAAGATTAAAATTTTAATACTTTATACTGTTAACGAATAAATACATCTCATACATTGTTACGGATTGCAGCATTTTTAAGCGGAATAAAAGAGAGAGGTATGAGCACGCGAACATTTGTTTTGTAAACAAATAGCTAACGGACTCGAAGAATGCTTCAAACCGAAAAACTCGAATATACGACTATAATTCCGAAAAGTAATAACAAATGAACCCTACAAGGTTATGCCCTGTTGACGTCACGACAAATATCGGCATAGCAACAGCCATCGATGCGTTATTCGGCGCAGCAAATTCGTACGAGAATATTTAAGGAGCTACTCTTGACTCTCTCGTCCTCTTACTAGTTCAATCAAGCAGTCATCAAGATCGGATCACCGTCATACAAGTTAACACCACTTACACAGAAATCACCTCCAATACACACAGATTGTCTCCAACTAACACGTAAGCTATACACATTCAGCTTACTACCACCACACAGATCGACCTCACTACACGTAACTCACGTTATTATACACGTTCTTACGCGCCATCAATGCACTGAGATCGACTCCACACGTAAGCTACGCTATTACACACGTTCTTACGTGCCATCAATGCACTGAGATCGACTCCACACGTAAGCTACGCTATTACACACGTTCTTACGTGCCATCAATGCACTGAGATCGACTCCACACGTAAGCTACGCTATTACACACGTTCTTACGTGCCATCAATGCACTGAGATCGACTCCACACGTAAGCTGCGCTATTACACACCTTCTTACGAATCACTAACACACGGCTCTGTGAGTTAAGTAAGCAGTAATACCTAGACCACTGCATCATCATTGCCCTTCATCAGTGACGTCACACATCAACGCCACCACGGCGGCATCAATTCTTCTGACCAGTGACGTCACGCACCAGCGCCCCACTCAGGCCTCTCCAGCTTAACGGTAGCGGCAATCGGCGGCGTCAACACTCCCCTTCCACACCGTGACACTCTTCACGGCATCATTACCCTTCATCAGCGCATCTCTCACTACCACTACGAGTCCTAACCACGAGTAGGATAATTACGCGCCACATCAAGAATACACATACAAGATTATTATCACTCATACTACTTGAAGAAACTCTCATCTATTCATTGTATCATTCATTCAATCTCTCCTCAATAGACAACTGATTATTTATTATATCATTATATTCAATAAAAGGAAAACCAATTCATACAAAGCAGTATTGAATGATTGCATTGTCCATTCCACTTGCCAGCAAGCCTCCCTTCATCATCTCAGGGAAGCCTATAGTCTGATCCCAGACATACATGTTATTATATTTGAATATAATATTAATTATACGTTTCTAAATATTTAATTTGAACTGTACACGATATTGAAAATGTATATTGAGATAAGACGATTAGTTATAAATGTGTGTTCGATAGCTTTATAATAATTTGCCGCCCGCCCTACCGAATACTTGGAAAGGACTTAAGTGGATGGGTATACATTTCTCTAGTGTGCGCTTCTTCGTTAAATATACTTTATTATGTTTTTTACAATTACATTATTGACGTGTTGGATTTATGTAACAGAAAAGTGTATACTATGTTCAATCACAACAATACAGTTGTTTCGAACTGATGCTGTGGCGAATATTTTACCAACGCGAGATACTCCTTAATGATGGTGATGATGTTGATCTTTTGAGGATTAGCAATGATTATGATCAGAATTTGTTTACTCACAGTAATACAGTAGCCTTGACCTGATCCTGTGATGAATGGTTCATCATCACGAATGCTTCATGTTGATCGCGTTGAATTGTTGCTGCTTTAGTAAGGATCAGCTATGAATTGTGTCGATTCCTTGATTGGAGTTTATTTTGTTATATTTCTATGGTGTGGCTTTCTTTTATATGAAGAAGATAGTCTCAACACGTTTATTTTTGCATCACAGGAAAATCGACGCGTCTACCTTCTTTGGTCGCCTTACTTTGAGCGAGCTTGTTCACTATAGTGTCCTCAGTAAGTAAGTGAGCTCATTATTTGCCGTGCCTCCCTTAAATATCCACGCGACAGCCTAGTTAATGCTAGATAATAATTGATACGACTGTGGTGGTAGAAAAAAATGGATGCGATCATGTACCTTTTTTTAGATGTCTAGCGAGAGTTGAAGTTTTCCCAGAAATGATGACGGTTGGAGTTTTCCCAGAAATTAAAAAGGTTGGGGGTTTCCCAGCAATGAAACATTCGAGAAATTCTCGGAATCTCGAATAATGCGGTTTATATTTTGTTTCAGCATTAAGATAAGCTTTTAGTAATTGTTCGAAATTGTAAGAATATTCCCAAGTCATTAGACATTTGTAAAACTAGCTATTAGAGTTCCAAAACAAATGAAGTCGTTAAGCATCTGGCAAAAACATATCATTCAAAGTTGTGAAAAACAAGTCATAAAAATATAAGCAAAAAACCACGACGTTTGACATCCGGAAAAAGGGTATTAAAGTCAACACTGCAACGCATACGCTGTTGTCAAACCTAGCTACATGTGGCTCGGATAGTGAAGCTAAAACGCGCCAAAAAAGTCCCCCTCATGTTGGAGATGCAAGTAAGATGCGCTCTGATTGGAGCCGCCAATAATGAAAGAATCAATTCGATTGGAGACGCCAAGAAAGAGGCGCTCTGATCGGAAAAGCCAAGAAGGAGGCAATTTGTAAAGACCATACGAGAATGCTTTTAAGAAAGACGCCAGCAAGGCGCAACGGCTTCTTGTCACAATAGAAATCTTCTTCTAGAAAGTTCCAAAGAAACGCCAAAGAACAAGGATGTAGACATATACAGTAAAGACCAAGAATTAAGAGGCAAAGGCTAGTCATATCCAACTCATAATAAGTGCAAGATAAGTGCAAATCAAATCATACACTCGCCACATTGCTAGAAAAGGAAAAGGGAACAAGAAAACAGTGGTACACAGTCCACAACATAATCATAACCTATAAGGAACCGCTCGAGGCAAATTCAGCAAACAATATGTGGTATGACCAGCAAAACACAAAACAGAAACTACAAGCTGCCGCACGAGGCAAAGTCTGCAGACATCACTAGCTGCCATTAAGAGAACAAAATCTGCAGAACTCACAAGGTAAAAGTTCCATTCCTTAATAATAATAATAATAATACATAATATGCCTCACAAGACAAAAAACTATAGAGCGACCAAGCACACACAATCTGCAAGCAATAAGGGGCAAGTTCAGTTCCCACGAGATAGACTTACGAGGCGCCGTACGCGGCAATATCTGCAGACTAAGATGAAGTGCCACCACGACCTGCAGAGCCTACAAGGTAAGCAATAAGACAATAACAAGGCAAGCTCAAGCTACTGCCACGTGCCACTACACAAGGAAGCGCGGGGGTTTACGACCTTGTTCTTCTACGTGTATAACTCCACCACCACGTGCATTACATATAGAGGACCAGAAGGTTACGACCTTATACCTATACATGCAACGCACATTACCGCTCTGTGGCAATAGCAATACAAAACTCAAAAAACATAATACAACTAATGTAATTATCGCAATAAACTACAACAAATAATGAAACTATTTATTATTGAATACATTCACTATCCTGTTCACTTGACCACAATCCTCACATCAACCATCTGGAAGTTTACAATTAACGTTAGATATTTGGCCCTCCTCGCCCGGTACACTATTTTTAGACAGTGTTACGGATTACAGCAGTTTTAAGCGCAATGCAAAGTGGAAGAGGTATGAGCGCGCGAACATTTGTTTTGTAAACGAACTCGAAGAATGCTTCTATACCGAAAAAACTCGAATATATGACTATAATTCCGAAAAATAATAACAATGAACCCTACAAGGCTATGACATCACGAAACCCTATTGACGTCACGAAAAACATCGTCATAGCAACAGCCACCGATGCGCTATCGGCGCTGCTAGTACGTACGAGAATATTTAAGGAGCTGCACATACCGCGATTCCTTCTTGCTAGTACCAATCACTTACTCTCCACATCGGGCTCGCTATCCAACCTGCAATCGCCATTGTGAGACCATGGCAAACATCAAGCAACCTAAAGAACTAATAGCGTTGCCAAAACTATACCGATACCCATGCCTCCGTAAGCAACGTACCACGCTCGTTCTTACATCCTACCTCTACGCGGTTCACGCCCGCATGTAAGTAACGCACTACGCTCGTTCTTACATCTTACCTCTACCGCGGTTTACGCCCGCATGTAAGTAACGCACCACGCTCGTTCTTATATCCTACCTCTACTCATCGGCTCGTTCTTACGGCTTACTAACACATCGGCTCCTGTCAACTACGTAAGCAGCAACACATGCAGTGACGTTAGACGGACGTCCTCCCACCACTCCTCTCACCACTCCGTTCACTACAGCGCTCACCCCACGCCAGCGGCTAAGGCGGCACCAACGCGCTCCCCCTATTCCAAGACGACCACGACATAAGAAGCGTAATATCGCACTCATCACAAGATCCGGTAAGACAAATGAAATTCTGTGAATTTAATTGAAAGATAAGCACCTGCGGACGGTCTTGAACTGTACGAAAGGTACCAGCCGCCAAGGGCATTTCATTATCGTCAGTTGGCACTACACGAAGAAGTGCCAGAGATTTACGATCTCTTACTTTCAGTGTAACTATTTACCATCAAGGTCAGAGGATCAGGAGATTTACACCTCCTACCTCTGCATGTAGTGTATGCTAACGCCACGTGGCAACTACTACCGATCTACAAGATCTCACAGATTCTCAACACCATCTTAGAATCATCATTATTGTGGAATAAATAAAATAAAGGTCAATAAACAGCACGATAAGAAAATGTAGTTAATTATTGAACAAATGCGCTAACCTTTCCACTTGCCCGCAATCCTCCCACTGAACATCTGGGAGTTTAGTCTAATTCTAGACAACTGCAATTATCTTTATGTAATATTTAATAAATACAGGTTCAAGGTATTATTAATAAAATTATTTACTATTAATAATATAATTAATAGCATATGTTGATTGATTTAATATTCGATATTACATATTTCACGAAATGTAAAATTAATGATACTTATTTTATTATTAATTTAACCGTTATGACATAAGATTCATTATATCAATAATTTTGGTATTTAATAATGTATTATGCTTTCAGAGTTGGATCGAGTTTTAGGAGATGTAAATAAAAAAATAAGGAAAAGATCAGCGCGAATAATATTGAAATTATCACATTATATTAAATACTATTCGGAAGGAATTTCAGACGCTATTAAAAAATGCGCTGAATTAGATGCGTAAGAAATTTAATTATTCAATAAATATTATATAAAAATAAAAAAACGTAAAATATATGCATTGTTTTACATACTTATTGTATGACAGTAATTAATTTTTATTTTATTACCGTTTATCATGTTCAATGACAAAATAATGCATAATAATGATAATTACGATTTCTAGTTCAGATTTATTTGTGAAGAAATTTTCGACGACTTCTAAAATCAATCACATTACATGATAGTCAATATACGTAATTCTAGGTTGAAGATCATTATGCTGACAGATATAATTTTTTAATGGTATTTGATTGAATAAATGAATGAGTATCTTGGTATCTAAATTTAATAAATTATTGTTTTTTTTATCCTACTCCGGAAAATATTTGTTATTTCTCTTGATTTTGTAAAGAATCTTTAAATAGAGATATTCATTGACATATTGACTTCTGTCATATCTATAATACAACATTAGTTTTCACTGCTAATGTTTCAAATTAATTTAAAAAAGATAAGATATGTATATACATTTCAAATAACCTTTTAAACCACTTTATATAAAATATTTATAATACGTACATAATTAGCAAGGAAAAGATTTATCAACTGTTAGATTGATAAAATTTAAATTGGATTGTAGTGATATATGAATCTAGTTCATATACATCACTTAAAATAAATGTAGAATTCATAAAATTAAAATACAACAATACCTGATTAAAAGGTGCAAATTTACTGTATTATATCATACATAATATTATTCATAAAAATCTATCAAAAACATAATAATTATAGTTTTTCTTAAAAATACATTATATATATTTTTATAATTATCCAGAAGAATTATATCAATAATAATTTTAATTCTCTAAGAACAGATCATTTGTTACATAATCAAAGAAGAATATTTTGATTTATACATGAAATATTGGAGCAAATTCAGTAATAGTAAAAGTATCATAATAAATATACATTAATAGAGGTGTAAAACTATCATTGAAAGTATACTATAGAAAGAAATATATGTATATATACATATATACGAATACATAGAATAAATTGAAGTGAAACTAACTTAATAAGAAAGATAAATTGATAGATGTATCGCTTGGAATACAGTATTTGATAAGTTGCTTTGTATTTCAATGATTTTAAAAAATTCCATTTAAAAATTTTCCTTATAAATTTAAAGACTCAAAGATTAAACCATAATATGCAATATAAATTATTCCATATTATTATTAATTAGAGAAGCTAACATATTTACTCTATTACTGTGCCGCCTTTATAACATTATAATTTTTTATTGAAAAAGTTTTAAGTTCTACTATTAAGGTTGTGGAAAAAAGCTGTAAGTTATGTATTAAAGAATGCAGTTATATATTAAATTATGGAAAGCTGAAACAAAAGTCATAATAACATAGTCCACAACTATTTTAGTAAGACAATTTGAATTAATAAACAAATGAAAATAGATACACATTTATAAGTCTATTGCTTTATAGTTACAGAAATGTATTCAAATTATAAAAAATAGCATAACTATATAAATACCAACTTTAATAAATAGATTACTATGTAATATTAATGTAGCTATTTTCTGAAGCTATATTTGAACACCATGATCAATACAGTTTATAATAGACTTTGTTAACAATTGAATTAAATAATGGACCTACATAATAAAAATTGAATTCATATAATTTAAAAGTGATAGAATACTCTAAATAAACATAGAAATACATTTTCTTTTTATATTTCAGGTTTTTATAGTAAAACTTTTTAAAAGCTTCTGTGAAACTAAAATAATTAATTATAAATATATTTAATATCTACGTTTTAAAACGCTTAAGTAACTATTTCTTTATTTTCAATAAACAAGTACAACAAATGAAGTTGTTATTGGTCTACTAATGAATGTATGGATGTAGATAAATAGACGATTCTTCAAATCAAAATTAAATTTTATAATAGTTAATTAGTTGGATGTCTATATTACAATGAAAGATATGTATTATCAAGTATAACCTTTATTATAAGATGTGAAAGAAAAATTTTAAATTCCTAAAATTAATTTCCTTAAAAGAATTTTGTTTGGGATTGTAGCAATTTCCAATACCGTCGGCTATCGGCATCGCTAGTCTCTCTCTCTAGCTCACAAACTTTCTGTAAACACTTGAGACGAAAATTTTCGTGTACTTGTTATGTTTTGGTTTCAAATAGCCTGCAATGTTTATATGGTCTTCGAGTAATAACATCGCCTGGAATTCTCCAAATTACTTAAGCTTTGTTCTTTTCTTAGAATTTTCGAAACTTCTAGATTTTTCTTCTGCACCTCGTGTAGGATTCCAGTACGGCAACAGCGATGCTTTGTTGCCAGTTAAGTGAGCTGTAGTGTGGATACTTACGGGAAGTACATTGAACTCAGTCACTCATTGTGAATCAATCGGTCAACAGTTATAAGTCATTATGTTATTCAGCTAGCGTTTTCGGCCACACACCAGTTCCTCAATTATATCAAACAATGAAGTCATCCCAAGGCACACACATTTAATTGTCAAGTGTGCTACACTTAGAAGCAGTCAAGGGTACTGACTGCATGACGAGAATCTACACTGCCATAAGAAGTATAGTCTCCAGGTATGTTCATATATACACTTCAAGGCAACACGTCCTATACAGGAGTGTGAGAATAGTACTGCTAATTCTTGGCAATATTAGCAGAGGCCACTTTATTATATACACTTTAAGGCCACACAGCCTACACAGGAGTGTGACCATAATTCTTCTAATCTTTACAAAATTAGCAGAGGCCACGACATCGTAACCGTCAAGGAGCAACCTCATCATTTAAAAAGATAGAGTTTACACTCTTCTAAATGAAGTGAATCCTGCTTATTATTAATGTAACTGTTAATACACCATACAGAGTTTTCACATTGTTCGGGATTGAAGCAGTCCCATGAATTTCAAACAAAAGAAAGGTCATTTACGCAGTCCGGCGTACCCCATGTGCGCCTAGACTGACCGCGCGTGCAGCAAGGCTGGCCACCACGTGCGCCTAGGCTGATCCGCACGTACGGACCGAGGCGGGCACTCGCGAAAATGTTTACAAACAAAACTCGGCAAGTCCGAGCAAGTTTACGATTTCAAATATTATTTACTGCCAGCACTCACAAAAAAAGGACGCCTTCGAAACTTCTAGAAGCTTCGTTTTTTCACGCCAAAGGAAAATTTCTGGAAGGGACGCGCATCGACACTGTTGCCGGCGCTGAAGACGCTGCATGCACATTTAAGCGCAACGCGCCATGAGGCGACGCTCATTCGTAAAATCACTTCGCTCTCCATCAAGCGTAACTGCCGATCAGTGCAAGTATACTGTAAAGACGCCGCGTAGCCACATTTTCGGCAACATAAGGTCATTCGTAAAATCACTTCGCTCTCCATCAAGCGTAACTGCCG